GTCAACGGGATCAGGTATCAGGCATCAGAAGACCCCAAGCAAACAGCCATGTCAATGCAAACGAAGGGGGTTGGAGTGTGGACCCAAAGCCCATTTGTAGACAATGGGACGTCCCCTCACAGAAGGGTCACAAGGAAGGGATGAGCCAGCCAGGGTGCAGCATAGTGCTGACAAAACACATAACCTTTCTCTAGTTCTTTAATGCTTCCTCCCTCCACTATCATGACCCCAGTTTACCTTCTAAACCCAACTAGACGGAAGCATGTACAATGGTACAGATAAGAGCTCTCAACACACAGACTCCAGGACAGATAAACCCCTCAGGAACACTAATGGGAGTAGAGATACCATGAGGGTAGGGGGAGGTTGGGGGGGAGAGGGGAACCAATCAAAATGATAGAAGTATATCCCCACTCCCACCCCTCCGAGGGGGACAAACAACAGAAACGTGGGTGAAGGGAGACAGTGGATGATGTAAGATATGAAAATAATAATAATTTATCAATGGGTCATGGGGGAGGGAAAAAAGAATAGCCAATACTTGGGCTCAAGTAGAACGAAAATGTTTTGAAAATGATGGCAACATAGCTACAACAAATGTGCTTGATACAATTGAAGTATGGATTGCGATACGAGCTGTAAGAACCCCCAATAAGATAATTTTTTAAAAAAAAAGAAGGATAAGGGAAAAGTGCATTTTCTGACCATTCCCTTTTTCCATGACCATTTTGAACCCCCCTCCGACTGACCGTCTGACCTCAGTAGGAGCTCAAGCCTCCCTCCCGGGAGGGTTGCTCTCTGTCTGCTTACCTCTGACAGAAAGGCAACTCAGCACCAAGTGCCCAATAAGTGGGGTATTTATGGGCTTACCTGGGCTAGTTTATGAGTCTAGACAGGTTCACATTGTTACACCACAAAGATGCTGCCGGCGGTGTTCCTGGCATCTCTGTGGCTCCCAACCCCACAGCACCGTACTACAGAATCAAAGCCTCTTTTCAAATTGACAGTCCCTCACAGAGGCACAGTAAGCCTGAGCTTACTTGTGCTTACTTATGGACCGATCTGTTGTGAATAGTTTCACAAGTTTTTTACCACACATCTGCACCCATGCTCATCCTGCCGACTGGGTGATCCATCCCTGTACTCTAGAATCAAACCCCAAACCAAACCCATGGCCATCCAGTCCATTCTGATGAGTCACCCCATGGACAAGTGGCCCCATGTAAGGTTTCCTAAGCTTAATGTAAATCTGTGGGAGCAGGTAGTCTCATCCTTCTCCCTTAAAGGGGCTGGTGGGTTTGAACCTCCAACCTTGTGAGCACCACTAGACTCACCGAATGCTGTTAGGTGCCATCCCGTTGGTTGCAGCTCATCGCGACCCCGTGGGCAGCAGAACAACAGCCGAGCCCTTCTCCATAGTCTCGGCTTAGTCAGGAAGCTCTGCTGAAACCCGTCCACTTTGGGTGACCCTCCTGCCTTTGGAAATACGGGTCCCACAGCTTCCGG